CACAACAAATAAGACACCAAGAAATGGGCTCTGAAAGACTTTCTGAAAAAGGCCCTTATACCATGAGTGGATAAGAGAGACTGATTCCATTATTAACACACAGAAATCCTCCAACAGGAAATGGCCAAGTAAATAAAGATTGTTTATTGGAGAAGGAAGCAAAGCAATTTGAAAAACAAAACAAAATTAGTGTGCCTGTGGTAAGGTAGGGCTTCCTCAAAATTCTGTGCAAATATTCACAGTTCTTTAAAGATTCTCAAGAAATCTTTGCATAAACTGAGAACTTCATGACAAAGGACATTAGACTTTTAGAATCTGAAGTAATAAAATCTTATATACAACCTGGATTGTCCCACAATGGATTCACTTTAAATATATTAAACAGCTCTTGTAACTTGGCAAAGATCTTGTACATCTGCTGCCTCTTTCCAGCAACTCCCCCTCCCACCAGTAACTCTACCAGTAACAACACATTGCATTTATTTAGTTCTTCATGGATTTCAAACATGCTTTCTCATCTATTTTCTCTTTGAAATCTGTCCAAAAGTTGGCAGGAAAATAGCATTAACCTTGGCTCAATTTTTTTCAGTCAATATGATTAAGAGTCAGTGGTACATGATGGGTTTAAGCATGTATGAACTACCATCTGTGCCCAAGTGTAGCAGCAGTAGCAATAGTAATGACAAAGTAATAGCTATCCTTGTTTGAATATATACCAGACATTCTCCTAAGTGATTTACTGCTAAGGTAGTTCTGAGCACATTTCTTGGTGCCTTATTTTCATGAAGTATACATGCTGGCTGGTGGCCCAAGGGTTGTTAACTTTGTATTGCACAATCACATCTGTCTAGCTGTCTATAAGACAAAAACCTGGTCATTTTACCTGGATCTCACACTCTCCCTCACTCTCCAGTCCAGTATGAATTTTACCACCTGTGTCTGACTGATTTTACAAACTAAATATCTCTGCTTTCATGTCTACTAACTATCATACAGCCATTTGAAGTCAGTGTTTTTCTTACCCCATTTTGTAGAAGTGGAGGCTGAGATTCAGAGGTTTGATAACTTGTCCAAGTCCACATGGCCAGTAAGTGATGGGGCTTGGATTTGAACATAAATTCATTCAGAGTCCAAATCTATCTTACCCATCTCCAGAGCATAAGTTCTTGATAATAATAGCTTCCATTATTTGAGTACTCACCAGGTTCCTGGCACTGTGCTATGGGCTCTGCCTGCATGATCTCATTTAATCTTCCCAATGCAACAACTTTATGTTAGTACTTTAGGTAGGTACTGTTGTTATTCCATTTTTATAGATAAGGAAACAGAGATTCAGAGAGGTTACAGAACTCACCCAAGGTCACATTGCTGCTGAGTGAGTTGACCCAAGCAATTTGATTCCAGATTCTAAGTTACTACTCACCCTGTTAATCTGCTTCCCAAAACTGGGTTCAGAAAAGTTAAAAGATTTGTCAAGGAGCATAGACCAGGTAAGTACAGGATCAATGCCAAGACCCAACTTTTCGCATAAGATTATACTTGAGGCGTGCGATGATCTTAGCCCTTTCTCCTCTGTAGACCAATTATACTCTCACCTCAAAGCCTCTTACCTGACATCACCCCAAAGCCGAGTGAGTTCCTTTCACTGCGTCTAGTAATTTTCCTTCAGTGATTCCCTACTGTTATTTCTACACCTCCTCTGTGTCTATCACTTCCCAGGCCTTCCCCACCCCTATAGAGTTTCCTGTCGCTAAGCTGATCTACTGTCTGCTACAATTCAGACTGCTACATACAGTCTGAGCTGCTAATAACCAAGAGAAACCCCCAAATCCACCCAATGCCATTGTGACTTCCTACCTTTTGAAACCAGACATTTCAAACTAGTAGGAGCCACAGTCTCAGACACAATCCTGCCCATCCCCCTCACTGATTAAATTTTACTCTATTGGCTGTAATACATCCCTTCCAGCTGTTTTACGTTAAGATTGGGAAAGCTGTGTTTTTACTGGATTAAAGCACAGCCCTTGGCTGACATTTTTTGGCCCTTTGTATACTCCTTAGATTTATCAGCTAATTGCAGACACTTTGAGAGAATAATTCGGCGTGTGTTTATTATGACAAACCCTGTGAGTGTGTCTTTGTGGTCAAAGATTCACGGATGTTTCCTTTACCGATCCCTGGTTAAGTATTAGAGTTGGTTCAGAAAGGTTGATTCAAACTCAGGAACTTACATGGGTGAAAATTTCATGTGTGTGTTTGGGGAATGGGGACAGAATTGATCCAACAGCTTTTTTTGTATTCCTGGGCTATTTTGAAGTGTTTTGCTGTAGATGATAAAATGATTTATTAGGAGATGTCCAATGCCTGAGGAATTTTATTCAAACCATCAAAAATAGCTTCATGTTATTCTAATGCCACTAGTTAATAAGGTTCTCCCTCTGGGTTAGCTCTGTTCCTGCAAATGTGGGCTGTTTGGAGACTTGTGCCTGGCAACAAGTCAAAGGGGGTGGTTGCCTCCCTCAATCAAGGCAATCACTAGCTGAAGTGCCCCATCAAACAGGAAGGGCCCAATGGTAGCAAATTAGGGGGTGGGAATATGGGCAATCATCATAATTCAGGTCGGGTAGTCCAGGATGAGTTACTGTGCACCAGGATCTTAGCAGGCCCCAGTCCTAGGTGCTACAGGCATAAAAGACCCAAAAATAGACTAGATCGGCCATAGGAAAAAGGAGGCTGGAGAAGCCAGTCTGGAAACCCAGGTGCTTAGGATATATCCTTGGAATCCTTGATCCCAAGCCAGACTGAAAATGAAGGGACAGCAGGAGCTCAGTGTTTCACACCAGGTACCCAAGTCAGGTAAGTGAGGAACACTGAGTCTAGCAGAGATGGGCAGGGGATGTGGGAGTCCAGAGCATTCCCTTCTTGCAGCTGTAAGGATAGGCTCACGGACTAGCAAGGAACTGAGGCTACTCCTGTGTTTCAGGTGGGGGAAGGTGATAGGTGAGCCAGAGGCTGAGGAAATAAGACAAAAGCTAAAGGAATACATTACTTCCAACTTCAGAATCAGGAGGAAGCTGAAAACAAACGGGGAGATCAAAGTACAAAAATGCCATGAAATTGTACAGAGTGAAGAAAAAGAAGCTGAGAAACCTGAATTTTTAGAATTGTCAAAAAAAAAGGAAATGCTGTTTTTTATGACGTTCAGGTATATATGGCTACCTAAAACACACAGTTGTAAGAGAACTTATCTCAATTAATTCTAATATGTTGTTATCTGTATATCAGCTAAGGATTTTCTTAAGCATGTTTGTTCACTTTCTTTTGCAATGCTTCTTGATAAGGATGCACAGATTTCTCTCTGGAATGGGTAAATATTATCTCTTCTGAGAAACTGGTTTTTTATTCTGCAGATTGAGAAGCTCATGAATATTGTCTATTTTTTTTTATTTGCTACTAGAAATCTTGGCACTAAGTCCACTCTGGCAAGGACTTAAAATAAGATTACAGCATTTTTTTTTTCTATGCTATTCTCACTCCTGGAATCATCTTCCCCTTTTTTCCCTCCATTGTAATTTACTGTACCTTTATTTAGGTGTATCTTGTATGTATCACTTAAGCTGGAACAAAGAAGCATATAATTACACACAGATGGGCATTTCCCATTGCTAAAAAGATACTTTCTCCTTTTACAGACTTTACATTTTATAATTATATCATTAGTTGCTTTAACAAATGCCCCTTCCATGAATAGAGGAATGGTTTCCTTCAGCTCTCTAAATCATCTCAAACTCCAAATTAAGCTAGGCCCAAGTAAAGATACTGCATTTGGTTCATAAATTAACTCTCTGTTCTATACTTGCCTAAAATACTCAGTTTAAATTCTAGAATCAATATTCAATGAGAGGCAGGATTTGTAAATTGTGGCGAGAAGCTTAAATGCTACCATTGACATACCCAGCTCTGGCCAGAAATTTTCATTATGAACTCCCTGTGCAGTCATGCATGGAGTCCCCCCAAACTCGTCACTCAACCCTACAAGACTTCTTTTTGGACAGGAGTACATTTCCATTTAAGTAAGTCTCTTGGGGGGGTCCTCTTGAAGAGAAAGGCAAACACAACCTTCAAAGCCTTCTCTCACAACATTTTCCCAAAATTTCCAAACAAAAAAGTAACTCTAAATCATCTGACTTTGCAGCTCTGTGGAGAGTTGACCATCTCCATCTTATCGCTCCAGGTTTTTCTAGGATCACTGTTATTTCTACTTTTCAAAATCCCTTTGTTCCAGTTAAAGAGGCTTATGTACTTCTACTTTCTCATTTTTGCTCATGCCATTCCCTGCCTGGACCCTAACCCTCCCCTCAACCTACTCCTCTTTATTTGAGTGCTACTCTCGGCTCCCATCTCTCCCATGAAGCCCTTCCCAGCATATCTGCTACCAGTGATCTCTCCCATGAACTCTGTAGCCCCTACTGTCTGCCACTTTGCCCTTGCACCTACCACATATGACAGACCATTGTAATTTATCATTCCAAGTGTAAGTTCCATTTCCACAACTCTGTTAAATTTCTACAAAACTAGGACTGGCATAGCATAGGCTTAATAAATATCTGCCGAAAGAACAAATGAATGAGTAATTCTTATGGCTTTTAAGACACCCAACAGCATCTCCACAATCTGGTTCATGAAATGTTTGGCATTGGTGATAATAGTCAAGATGCAAGCTACTTGGAAGGCTGAGACCGAAGGATTGCCTAAGTCCAACAGGTCGAGGCTGCAGTGGCCACAAGTGTGCCACTGCACTCCATCCTGGGCAACAAGAGTGAGATTCCAACTCAAAAAAAAAAAAAATAGTCAAGCTGCTACCCTCCCCTTCTACCTCACACTGCAACCTAATGTCCTTGAATCTTTCTATCTCTGTCTCAGTAGCTAAAAGCAAAACCTTAATTCTCTCTTTGAACAAAATAACTGTATGCTAACTTTTTTATTTCCTCTCCTCCTAGATTTTGAAGAAGTCTTGCATTGAAATTCTGGCAGCTGAACCATCCACCATATGTGCAGGAGGTAAAGGGAAATTAAATGCTAATTGCTTTCATACAATTGATATTTTGAGTTCAAATCATATTTACTTCATTGGTGCAAGGTGGAAAAGAGGAGCAGGAAGATAGGGAGAAAAGAGGAGTAGAAATGGCTGACTAAATTTGCTTCTAGGGAAAAAAGAAAAGAAAGAAGCAGCTTGTCATTTGTTTAAAAGTTTGAAAAGAGTCGTCCAAATTCTGTCTTTCATGGAACCTAATGACAAGAGAATTGTAGAAGTACTAGATTCATTCCCACATCAATACTGAACACTGAGTTACCATCCTGCTCTGGATAGAAGTGGAGTCACCCTTCATCCTCATGACAGCCCTACAGATACCAGATGAGGATCATAGGGATCATGGGTCACCCCTGAAATGTGGATATATCTAAGTATTTAGTTGAGTGCTGGTCTTTCTGCATAATTAATATATTTATCTAAGTTGTTTAATCTGCCAGTCCTCACACAATGGTGGTGGACAGCTCCAGTTGTCCCAGTGGAGGGGCATAATAATTTTATCATTAATATAGGAAATCTCTACCAGCCTTCTTTGAATCACAATATTTTCCATAACAGATTAAAGTTGGGGCCTTGCTCTTGTTTTGTATTATAATAGACTGTCTAAAATATCAACATGCTGTCTCTCTTCATATAATTCTTGACAGGTGTCCCATCACTCTTCTTTTATTTATTTAAAACTTACTGTTAAGTGTCCACTGCACACTAGGCACTGTGCAAGATGCTGGAGAGACAGGAGGATAAATGCTCTGCATGAGTCTCTTCCCTCCAGAAATGCATCTTTCACTGTTGAGAGTTCACTGTGGATAACACCTTCTTAGTCTCCCAAAATACCAAGTGTGAGTTACTTATTTATGAGAGAAAATACATCATACAATTCTGATAAGATAGTAAATATTGAAGGAAGAAATTTCAGTCCTTTTCAAATACCATCACATTCCTATGTATATAGCATACTTTATGGGTATAAATGAGGGAATTTCTTGAAGATTTTATTTCAATTTTTGCCTATATTTTATGACAACTGAAAAACTTACAAGGAGTTAGACACACTGAATAATCTGTGCCAACATCATAACATTAAATATATATATGTAAATGTATAAAGTTGTTAGTAACACTTGGTGATTAATTCCATACATGCATAAATATGTAATGTGTGTACATAAATACATATGTACATTCATAAATATTTGCATACATATGTAAAGTTGTTAGCAAAATACTTGGTGGCTAACTATTCTGAGATATTTTGCTAATTTCCCAAAGAAAAGCAATCAAAAAAGATTACTTACTGTCCTTTAAATGAATCCTTGCCCAGCAACACAGATGGCAGGAGTAAATGTGATTGTCACAAGGATGGATCTGGGAGAATCTCTTTAAGAAAAATAATTCAGAAATCTCACCTTTGTAAATTTGACAGAAACATATAACCATGTGAATATGGTGCCTGAGCCTTGTAAGAGGTCTTGGGCTTTGTGTACTTTGAGTAGTATAAATAGTAGGATATTTACATTAATTACATTTTGTGAGTGTATGTAAGTATAATGTATTTTTATAGCTCCCTAATTTTAAAACAATTAGAAAACAAGGGAGTTCCTTAATTGTGCAATTATTGCATTCATGAAGAAAACCCAGTCTTTCAGCTTAGCAGTTCTGCTATGTGTTGCAACCTTGGTGTTAGGTCAGACTCGGGGACTGGCAGGGATGTAGGTCTTGACCCAGTGCAGTGCAAAAGATGCAAAGAATTGCACAGAAGTTAGTTTGGAAAATATAGTTATTTAGCAAGTAAATTAGAGAGAGAGGTGATTCGCCTCCTCAAGGTAGGAGGGGGCCAAGGCTTAGTGAAAAGGATGGTGGTCATAACTCAAAGAGCCACGTGGCCAGACCAGAACTTAGCTAAAGCAATGGCTGCCATAGCTCAATGAGCACATAATCTGGCCAGAGCTTAGCAGAAGTAATGGCGCCAGCTGCTTGAGGTTAAATGCCTAAACCTTCCCTTTAGTGGGAGCAGATCGTTAGGGTGATTGTGTGGTGGTCTGTTTCATGTCATCATGAAGGGGCAGGTAAGCACAGGTGTTAATGTCAGGTGATGGACAGCAGACAGACGGGTGGGCTAGTCGCTTAACTGTGTCATGAAAGGCTGATTAGGTTAACTTGGTTTCTTATGGCTGGAGGCAAATACTTGGACTAGAAAATCTAATTAATACGAAACAAGCTGGGGAGTTGCAAAACAATTATTAATAACTACCTCTGAGAAACCAATTCTGTCCTTGGCTGGTGTTTAGAGGGTAAATTAAAGTGAACTGCTAGAAAAACGTGGCAGAACTAGACAGTGTTGAAACGGCTGCTCTTTGGCTTGACTCCGTCTTTTGTCCTTTCACTTGTAATGCATCGGAAAGTCTAGAGACAATGAGCACAATTTCTGCAAATTCACTAGCTTAGTCATCAATTCTCCTCCGGTAGGCTTCTTGAAGACAGAGAAGGAACCTTATCTCTTTATAATTCTCACTGCATAGCAGAGTACCTGGCACTTAATGGGCGGTCAATAAATATTGACTGAATGTCTTGATTAATGCATTCCTCCAAAAAACTGTGCCACTGATTTTTGCCTATTTGACCTTTCTTAACTCTTTTCACTTAACCATAAGAAATTTTTCTTTTGAACTGTATAATTAAAATGAAGCAAAATTAAAATGTAATGGCCAAAGAGAAAACAAGACCAAAATTAAAATTAAAATCTCAACCACTTGGACAATAGAAAAATGTCATCCTAAGTAATTCTAGACTCAAAAAGTAAACCAAATTCTCCCTTACATACCATTAAGTTCTTCAAGACAATAAAGACATCACATATATAAAACTAAAGGAATATGGCATGGGAATACCAAGGTCCACAAGATCTGATCCTGTCAAATCTACAGATTTCAAATTTGTCTTACATGAAAAACAAAAATAAATGAACTGAGAATTAAGTAAAAAAAAAAAAAATTAAACTATGGACAAAAAAGACCAAGGAGCACTAGCACATTTTAAATATTAAAGCAATTCAACTGACAAATTTTTCCAAACCAATAAAATAGACAAATCTAGTAAATCTAAAATCAAAAGAACCTTTCTTTAGATATTCTTAAGATATCCAGTTTATGTGCAATATTGCATATTTTATAAACAAACAATATTTTTCTGTATCAAAGTAAACTATACAAGTCTACCTTTTCATTTCTTATAAAGAAAAAGACACAATAACAGAAGCTAGCCCTAGGTTTTGAAAAAGGCAAACTCTCACCTCTGTTGAACTAGAATCATAAGGGTTAGCCATGCTGATTGCAGAATAACATTATTAAGGAGAAAATGAAACTCCGAAAGGATATCCTTATATCAAAAGTTCTTCCACGGATTTCCTTGAAAGTCTGTTGCTGACCATTCTCTGGAATAAGCATGGCTTTCATGAAGCATGAGAGACCATTCCATTGTCTACTCTACAAACACCTATTAGATAGAGCTAGGCATAGTTTCTCTGTGATCTTCCTTAGGACCCAGGGATTTATGTGAAAGTACCTTGAAAAGTGTAAATTATTATACAAAACAAGATGACATTATTACCATCAGTATCATTTAATAAGGATTAAAGGTCAATGTTAGAATCATGATGACGATAACTTCATATCCAGATGAGAAAAGCATGTCTGTATGTTTTTCCACTGAAAGAAAATTGGGGAGGACATTGATAAAGTTCAGAATATCTGCAAAATTATTAATTAACTCATTGTGTATTGTTGGACAGAGTAAACAAGAAAATAACTGATTATTTGCATTTCTAAAGTATAATGGTGGGATCGAGCTCTAGACAGATTAGTGAAGAAGGTAGAATGTGCTTTCATCAAAAACCTTTCTTCTCAGCCCCTTCCCCTTTCTCTTTGTGAATTCCTTCCCTTCATTGGCCCCCAGAACAGCCCCTACTGTGGAGCCCCACCCAGGTTTATCTTGCTCAAGACACTCTATGCTGATGATTGCATTCCCCTAAGACAATGATCTCAGCTGGCTTTCACTGCCAGCTCAACACCCAGCAATGGTTCTGACAGCAAATTGAGTGCTGAGTGAGGCAGCAATATAAGGCTCTGGGTAGACAACAAAACCAAAATCCAGCACAGGCCTTTATATGTCGTGCTGCACATAACAAGGTAACATTTAATAGGACAAATACAAAGTGTTGAACTTGGGTCCAAATAGCCAGTTTTACAAGCAAGCAGGTTTAGGAAAACTAGACATGGTAACAGTTAAGGGGAGGGAGCAGAAGAGACAAGGACAATCATAGCTGCCTTGGTAGCCAACAAGAATGCCTCTGACCAAAAAAACTGATGCAATCTTAGGGTGCATCAATAACCCTCCAATGTCCAGGTCAAGAGAGCTAATAGACCCGTCCCATGTTACAACTATGGTTTCAAGTTCCGCATTTTAATAATATTATTGACATTCTTAATTATTAATTAATTAATAGATATATTACCTGATATATTACTTAAGTATATATGGAATATAGTTAATGGAGTAATTAGTTAATGGAATAATTAATTACTTATGTCCATAGGAGAATGGATCTTGAAACCATATTAATAATTTAGTCATGGATTCATTCCTTCTATCTTCCACTTCCTTCATTCTTTCTTCACTTTTTTTTCCTGCTTTCCTTTCTTCCTTCTTTCTTTTCATCAGTTATTAGTATTGTCTATGCACCAACGAATGTGAAAAGTTATGAGTACAAAAATGTTTGTTCCCAAACCCTTCCCCACTCAAAACTCAAAACTCAAAATTCACTGTGGGAGATAGTCATATGCTCAAATAAATTACAAAACTGTGCATTAAGCTCTATAGCAGAGGTCTGCTCAAAGAGCAGTGAGAGCACTAATGAGATGCCTGTGGGATGAGGAAAGACTGAAGTAATCACAGAGATTGAGGCCAGGAATTG